GGTCTTATGGTAGATTGATTTCCATTTTCCTGGGGAATCTCCATACTGATTTCCAAAGTGGGTGTAGAGTTGGCACTCCCACCAGCAGTGGAGTGTTCCCCTCTCTCCACATCCTCTCCAGCATAAATTGTCGTTGGTGCTTTTGATTTTAGCCATTCTGACAGGAGGAAGATGGCATCTCAGAGTTGTTTTGATTTGCATTTCCCTGACGGCTAAGGATGTTGCGCACTTTCTTAAGTGTCTCTTGGCCATTTTGGTCTCCTTTATAGAGAAGAATCTATTTAGTTCTGTAGCCCACCTTTTAATGGGATCCTTTGGTGTTTTGGAGACTTGCTTCTTGAGTTCTTTGTAAATTTTGTTGATCAGCCCTCTGTCAGATGTGGGGTCGTGAATATCTTTTCCCCTTCTGTGGACTGCTTTTTTGTCTTGTTGACTGTGTCCTTTGCCTTACAGAAGCTTCTCAGTTTCAGGAGGTCCCATTTGTTAATTGTCGATCTCAGTGTCTGTGATACTGGTCTTATGTTCAGGAAGTGGTCTCCTGTACCAACTCGTTAAAGAGTATCTCCCACTTTCTCTTCTAAGAGTTTCAGTGTGGTTAGATTTATGCTGAGTTCTTTGATCCATTTGGACTCAAATTTTGTGCAAAGCGGTAGACATGGAATGATCTGCAGTCTTCTGCATGCCAATACCCAGTTATGCCAACACAATTTGTTGAAGATGCTTTCTTTTTTCCAGTGTATAGTTTCAGCTTCTTTGTCAAAAATCAAGTGTTCATAGGTGTGTGGGTTAAAATCAGGGTTTTCAATTTGGTTCCATTGGTCTACCTGCCTATTTTTGTGCCAATACCAAGCTGTTTTCAGGACTATAGCTCTCTAATAGAGCTTGAAGTCACATATGGTGATGCTTCCTGAAGTTCCTTTATTGTATAGGGTTGTTTTGGCTATCCTGGGCCTTTTGTTTTTCCATATAAAGTTGAGTAATGTTCTTTCCAGATCTGTGAAGAATTGTGCCGGAATTTTGATAGGGATTGCATTGAGTCTGTAGATTGCTTTTGGCAAGATTGACATTTTTATTATGTTGATCCTACCAATCCAAGAGCATGGGAGATCTTTCCATTTTCTGGTATCCTCTTTGATTTCTTTCTTTAAAGACTCAAAGTTCTTGATATAAAGGTCTTTCACTTCCTTGTTTAACATTATCCCCAGATACCTGATGCTGTTTATGGCTATTGTAAAGGGTGAGGTTTCTCTGATTTCTCTCTCAGTCACTTCATCATCTGTATATAATAGGGCCACTGATTTTTTTGAGTTAACCTTGTATCTTGCCACTTTGCTGAAGGTGTTTATCAGCTCTAGGAGTTCCCTTGCGGAGTTTTTCTGGTCACTTATGTAAACTATCATATCATCTGCAAATAGTGAAAGCTTGACTTCTTCTTTTCCTATTTGTATCCCTTTATTTCTTTTTGTTGTCTTATTGCTGTAGCTGTGCCTTCAAGTACAATAATGAAGAGATATAGAGAGAGTAGACAGCCTTGTCTTGTTCCTGATGTTAGAGGACTTGCTTTGAGTTTCTCTCCATTTAGTTTGAAGTTAGCTGTTGGTTTACTGTATATTGCTTTTATTATATTCAGGTATGTTCCTGTTATCCCTGATCTCTCTAGGACTTTTATCATGAAGGGGTTCTGGATTTTGTCAAAGGCTTTTTCAGCATCTAGTGAGATGATCATGTGGTTTTTCTTTCGCAGTTTCTTTATATGTTGGATTACATTGATAGATTTTCTAATGTTGAACCATCCTTGCATTCTTGAGATGAAGCCTACTTGATCATGGTGGATGATTTTTCTGATGTGTTCTTGAATCCGGTGTGCTAGTATTTTATTGAGTATTTTTGCATCGATGTACATGAGGGAAATTGGTCTGTAGTTTTGTTTCTTAGTTGTGTCTTTGTGTGGCTTGGGTATCAAGGTAATTTAGCCTGGTAAAAACAGTTTGCCAGTGAGCCTTCCGCTTCTATTCAGTGGAACACTTTGAGGAGTATTGGAATTAACCCTTCTTTGAATTTCTGGTAGAATTCTGCACTGAAGCCATCTGGGCCTGGGCTTTTTTTGTTTGGGAGACTTTTGATGACTGCTTCTATTTCCTTAAGGGTTATAGGTCTGTTTATATTGTTTATCTGCTCTTGATTTAGCTTTTGCAAGTGATATCTATCCAGGAAATTGTTCATTTCCTTTAAATTTTCTAATTTTGTGGAGTACAGATTTTCAAAGTATGCCCTGATGATTCTCTGGATTTCCTCAGAGTCCATTGCTATGTCCCCTTTTTCATTTCTGATTTTGTTAATTAGCATGCTCTCTCTCTGTCTTTTGGTTAGTTTGGACAGAGGTTTGTCTATCATGTTGATTTTCTCAAAGAACCAACACTTTGTTTCATTGATTGTTCACAATGTTCTCCTGGTTTCTACTTGATTGATTTCAGTCCTCAATTTGATTATTTCCTGGCGTCTGCTCCCCCTGGGTGAGTTTGCTTCTTTTTGTTCTAGAACGTTCAGCTGTGCTATTAATTCTCTAGCATGACTGTTCTCCAGTTTCTTTATGTGGGCACTTAGTGCTATGAACTTTCCTCTCAGCACTGCTTTCAAAATGTACCATAAGTTTGGGTATGTTGTGTCTTCATTGTCATTGAATTCCAGGAAGTCTTTAATTTCTTTTTTTATTTCTTACTTTACAAAGGGATGGTGCAATTGAGCATTGTTCAATTTCCATGAGTTTGTTGGGTTTCTGCGATTTGTGTTATTGTTGAATTCTAATTTTACTGCATGGTGGTATGACAAGATACAGGGGGTTATCCCAATTTTTTTGTATCTGTGGAGATTTGCTATGTTTCCTATTATGTGGTCATTTTAGAGAAGGTTCCATGTGGCAACGAGAAGAAGGTATATCCCTTTGTGTTTGGTTGGAATGTTCTACAGATGTCTGTTAAACCCAGTTTGGTCATAACTTATATTAATTCTTTTGCTTTTTTGTTAAGTTTCTGTCTGGAGGTCCTGTCTAGTGGTGAGAGCAGAGTGTTTAAGTCCCCTCCTATTAGTGTGTGAGATTTTATGTGGAATTTGAGCTTTAGTAATGTTTCTTTCACAAATGTAGATGCCTTTGTATTTGGGGCGTACATGTTTAAAATTGAGACTTCATCTTGATGGACTTTTCCATTGATGAATATGAAATGTCCTTCTTCGTCTCTTTTGATTGATTTTAATTTGAATTCCAGTTTGTTAGATATCAAGATTGCTACACCCGCTTGTTTCTTGGGTCCGTTTGATTGGAATATCTTTTCCCAACCCTTTACTTTGAGATACTGTCTGTCTTTGATGTTGAGATGTGTTTCTTGTATGCAGCAGAAGGATGGATTCTGTCTTCGTACCCATTCTGCTAGTCTGTGTCTTTTTATAGGCAAGTTGAGGCTGTTGACATTGAGGGACATCAATGACCATTGATTGATGATTCTTGTTTGTGCTTGATTTATTGGCAGTGAAGTTATTTTGTGTAGTTTCTCCTCCCTTTTTCTTTTGGTGTTATGTAAAGTGGGCTTATATATTGCCTGTGTCTTTGTGAGTATAGTTATCTTCCTTGGATCTAGGTTTTCCTTCTAGCACTCCTTCTAGAACTCCTGGGAATGTGGACTTGCTGAGCCTGAACCTGAAAGAGAAACACCAGGAATTCAACACTGATTACCTTGCAGGGTTTGGTTTGGTTTTCATTTTACCTTATAATTTAAAATATCTTCTTGCTAGTCAATGATGTACTTTGCTTTAAAATTTAAAAGCTGGATGGAAACTATTTTAGAGTGAGCAATGGACTTGGATACTCCTGCTCCAGAACCAGGTGTACAAAAATCTAGTAAAACACTGGAAAGGGGTTCAACATCACCAGTCTCTGTGGAACTGCAGATCAAGTGGCAGTTGTTATAAAACCTCAGCTGTTACAGTCTCACCTCAGCACAGATCTACTAGATCCTCAAGGGCAGCTGCACACTGGGACCTTTCCTGGGAAACTTGATGCTCAGCTCCTGACAGCATTTGGAGCTTGGCTACCATCCTTGTGCAGCCCAGACGTGAGCTGCAGGTCTCACGTGGTGGTGGTGGTATTGCCACCAGGGGGCGGCAATACACCACATGTCAACAGGGAAAACTCTCCCTGAGGTCAGAAGCTATCTTGTAAACTTGTCTCCATCCCAATTCCAACAGAGCTGGGGCTCCCTCACATAATCACTTCTCTGAGAAGCCCATTCTGCAAGAGGACCCCATGTAGTTCTCTCCCTCCTCACCTCATCTGTGAGGAAATAGGGGAGATCACGGGGCAATCAGCAAGGAGAACAAGGTGTCCAGAAAGGTCAGGGAGGGCATGGGCAGACCTGAATCACATTCAGTCATCACAGGAGGCTGGGGGATGAGGGTGTCTCCCCGTGCCCTCCAGAGGAAGCTGGAGCACACAGTCCTCTTTCTAGGACACACAGGTCACCTCCTCCTGCCCACCAGGATATACAATCCCTGACAGAACTTGTATGCCTGGATCAGACTGGCGACTGGTGACACCAATGACAATGGATCCGGGCCCTCAACAGTCATCACTCAGTAGACCTTTTCCAGTCACTAGAGACAACTCCACTCCCTGCCCAGAGTAACTCCCACCTTCCCAGAGCTTTGGGAACACAGGGCAGACTGGGCTCAGCTGGGTCTCTGTGTCACAAGGAAACACACTCTTGGCTGTAGAAGTGCAGGGACTCCCTCTGGTGCTGACAGGCAAGGTCAGGACACAACAGAGGGCAGCCCTGGTGTGAGCTGCTGTTCTCTCAGGACATGGGACACTTCTCAGTCTTGTTGCTCAAATTGTGTTCTAGAACACTGAACCAGAAAGGAATAGGACTGGAGGCAGAACTTACACAGACTCCACCCCAGCCCATGTGACTCCAGGAGGTGCCCTCCTCTGGGAGGAGGCTCAGGCCTGGGAAGAAAAGCAGAGCAGACAGCAGAGCTGCCAGGCTTGACAGCAGCCTGAGAGACAAACCTCCTCTCCAGAGGAAGGGCGAGCAGGCAGCAGAGACTATGGAGCTCACCTCAGCCCCTCTCCACAAAGGGCAGGTCCCCTGGAGGGGTCTCCTGCTGGCAGGTGAGGAGACATTCCTGGGGGTGGAGAGCAGAGACGGGGTGGGGTCCCTGGGAGAGAGAAAGAGCCTGAGAAGGACCATCTGGCTTCTGCTTAGAGCCTGAGAGCAACAGGAAGCTCACAGTGAAAGTGAATTGCTAAGTGGGGAGGGAAACTCAGCTGTTCCCCCTCGTAAGTTCATCAGCACTGGCCCCTGTGTCCTGAAGGCTGACGGTCACAGCTCTGTCAGGTGACTCTCCAAGTAAAACTCAAACTGAGAAATCTGCAAATAAACCCCAGGCTCTGGGACACTGACTGCTCACAGGTGTCTGAGATGTTCCGGGCAGTGGGGTTTAAACCAAAATCAGACTAGTCCTCCTCACAAAGGCCTAGTGCTACTGGCCATGAAGACAGCAGCGAGGACATCTAGAAGGTGGCCTCAGGGGTGACAAGCACTTCAGAAGAAACAGAGCAGGGAAAGGGCAGAAAATGAAGGCAGAGAGTCTGTACAGGAGGAGGTCAGAGAAGACATGCCTACACTCCCCATAGATTCTGAGTGTGAGCAGGGATCTGAGGGAGTGAGCGGTGAGCTGTGTAGACACCTGAGCAGACACTGTCATTCAGGGGAGAGATTCAGGGGTTCTGAGGGATGGAGGTGATGCTGCTGACCTCCCACAACAGGACGCCCACACACCAAGGCTGAGAGTTGAGCGCACGCCGGTTTCACATTTCTAGAAAATGCAAAGATCCTATGGTTGATAGATTTTCTCTCTTCCCTCTTAGCCTTACTTTTAGCCTACTGGAACTCTCCTGTCAGTGCCCAAGTCACGGTTGAAGCAGTCCCGACCCACGTTGCTGAAGGGGCAAACGTTCTTCTACAGGTCCACAATCTGCCAACGACACTCCAAGTCTTTTACTGGTACAAAGGAGACACTTTGGCTGACAGTAATGAAATTGCACGATTTATAATATCCAGTAGTACAAATAGTACAGGGCCTGCACACACTGGCAGAGAGACAATATACCAAAATGGATCCCTGCTCTTCCAGAACGTCATGCAGAATGACACAGGAACTTACACGTTTCATATGCTAACAGCAAATTTTGATAATCCGACAAAATCCCTGCAGTTCTATGTACACGGTAAGTAATTCTCTGTAATCTGTGGGTCATGGGTGGAGACAATCCTACTCCACACACAGGGTTGTCAGTCCTGGATGACTCTGTGTTATGGTCCCCACATTGTGGTCCAATCATTTAGTAAAGGACACAGAGGGCAGAAAACAGCAATAAATCAGGATGCCTCACTGGAATCCACGCTCAGAGAAGAGGGGGTGAGGTACCTGAGCCCAGGCATGACAGACTCTGCCCAGGGTCTTAGATGCTCATCATGAACATGGCCTTGAGAAAGACGCTTCAGAACTCAGGCAGGGTCTGGCTGAGGAAAGGATCAGAGTCTCACAGAGAGATGAGCACCGGAAGCTTTGCTCCAGACCTCCATCCCAGACTGGACCAGGAATCCAGGAAGCTTGTAGACTGGGCTGGAGTTTGACCTCCCTTTGGAGCTGACAGGGGACAATGATTGATTGTAGGCTGGTGGCCTGCTGACTGTCAGCCTATGAGAACCATGTCTGAGGTAGGTCCCAGGCATCTCCTACTGAGACTCAGGGTGGTCAGCTTAGGTGGGGAGGTGTGAGAGGCAGTCAGCCAGCTGTTCTGTGATCTTCTGAGACCTCACAGGAAGGTCAAGAGCCCTGAAGAAACAGGAGGAAAAGTGTACGAATGGCAGACCCTTGCCCTCCTCGGGTCCATCCCAGGAATTATTTCCTGCAGGCAAATGGTCGCAGATACAGCTTGCTGGAAAGTCAGGTCATTGTTAACATTTAAGGCTAATTTCCAGGAATGGCAATGATCATTTACCATGTGTCCTATTATAAGGAATGTGAGACAGGAACCACAGTCACTTAGTCTGGGTCTCATAGTCCATGGTTGGCACAAGCTACCTGGCCACAGACACATCTCTAGTTTCCCACTATGGAGAGCTTAGTAGGTGCCCTTCAGTCTCCTAGATCATTTCGTAGACTCAAACAACTGACAAGAATGCTCCACCTGTGCTCCTCCTCACCTGAATGCCAGCCAGATCCTGATCTGTGTGAGATCTCTGACAGGCTGTCAGGTTTCTCAGGGAAGCTCAATGGGAAGACTAATCATGACCTATGTGCAGGACAGCCATGAAGAGCAGAGGCTTGGAGGACACTGGTCTACACTGGCAGTGGAGGTCAGTGCAGCTGGAGGGACTCACACATTGTGTCTCAAGGCCTGCAATGGGTCAGTGAGGACCAGGAGATAAAATGAGGTCTCTGATTCCAAGGCTTGAGTCTGTCCATCCCCAGACACTGCACTCAATTCCCTCATGAGAAAGCCCTTGCTTCTCCCATACACAGCTCAGGAGGCCCCATGATCTCTGAGCTCTCAGCTACTCCATCTGCCTGGCATTTGCTTCCTGCCTGATTCCTTAAGGATCTGGGTAGGCATGGAGATAAGAGACCGTCTCTAGGGTTGGGAGAGCCCCTTGCAAGAGTCAGAGGTACCAGACAGGGCAATCTTCTCTCTGTTGTCTGCACAGCACCGCTACCCAAGCCCAACATCACAAGCAACAATTCTAATCCCATGGAGGGTGAGGACTCGGTAGCATTAATGTGTGAGCCTGAGACTCAGAATACAGTCTACCTGTGGAGGATAAATGGCCAAAGCCTCTCAGAAGGTGACAGGCTGAAGCTGTCCATCGACAACAGAACTCTCACTTTACTCACTGTTGTGAGGACTGACACTGGACCCTATGAGTGTGAAACCCGGAATCTAGTGAGCACCTCCCGAAGTGACCCATTGACTCTGAACATTACCTGTGAGTATTGTCTGTTTCATCCTGGCTACAACACCTAAATACAGATGGCTAGAGCTAGGATACTCAGGACCCTTGGGTTCACAACACAGACCCACCACACATACATCTATGCTAGCCAGGGCATCCTTGGCTAGCCCAAGCACATACAGCTAGGCCTAGCATTAGCTAGAAGGAGCTGGAGGGACTTCTTCTGCCTAGAGAGACTCAGGGTGATGGAGACAGGGGACAGCTCAGACTCAGGCTCAGTGCACACACGAGTGTACAGTGGGGCTGTCTGTGTGTTGTGCATAGGGTGGATCAGGGCTTGTGCATGCTGCATGAATACTCTTCGACTAATCTACACCCAGCTCTGGGTGGTAGCTGTTCATCTAATGTTATAGCACAGCTAAAGAGATTCCATGGCCTTCTGCAGACCAGGATTTCCCCTTCCCTCTGCTGACATCACATGTGGCTTTCTTCTGTTTGCTCCAGATGGTCCAGATGTCCCCATCATATCCCCCTCAGATACTCATTTCCAGTCAAGGACAAACCTCAGCCTCTCCTGTCACGCAGCCTCTAACCCACCCGCACAGTACTCCTGGTCTGTCAATGGAGAGCTCCAGGCATCCTCCCAAGAGCTCTTTATCCCCAACATCACTACTAATAATAGCGGATCCTATACCTGCCTCGTCCATAACTCTGTCACTGACCTCAATAGGACCACAGTCAAGAACATTACTGTCCTTGGTAAGTGGATCTCTGTAATGTCAGCACCAGGTGTGGAGTGCAGTCTTTTGGCTTTCTGGGAAGATGCAGAGGGATTTAACTTACAGACCCTGTCTATGGGAAGAGACAAAACTGAATCCTCCCCGAGCTTCCTGCTCCATCCCTATGTCTAATGGTCTCCTGCTTCTCTGACTTCCCCTGGCTGATAGGGATGGAGCTTGGAATGTGAGGAGGGGATCTCCCAGCCTTGGAAAGCCTCAGGTCGTGTGAGGGACCTCCCAGGGGTCTTAAGGTCAAGATACCTTTCTGTCACTAACACAGCATTCCTGTCCCCTCCATTTTCCTCTTATGGTCTCCATGACCTAGAAGGAACACCCAGGTCTTTCAAGTATGCTACATTCTCTTTCTCCAAATGTGAGGAGAAAACTCTGCACAGATGGGGACAGCAGTTCAGAGCTCTGCTCCCAGCTCAGCTCCTGTCTCTTGGGTGTCTGGCTCAGCTGACTCCATAGGATGGAAAGAGTGGGTGGAGAATGTGTCTGGGAGCCCTGCTCTGAGTCCGGGTGAACCAAATCAGAGACCATTTGATGATGCTCATTCCCTTACTGTTCTCAAGGTTTAAAAAGCAAATGTCGCCGGGCGGTGGTGGCGCACGCCTTTAATCCCAGCACTCGGGAGGCAGAGGCAGGCGGATCTCTGTGAGTTCGAGGCCGGGCTGGACCGATAGCCCCCGAAACAACACAGAGAAACCCTGTCTCGTAAAAACAACAAAAAAAAAAGCAAATGTCACCTGAGAGTGGTTGTGCACACCTTTAATGCCAGCACTAAGGAGGGAGAGGCAGGAAGATATAAGTTCAAGGCCAGCCTGGTCAACATAGCAAGTTCTAAGTCAGCCAAAGCTGAGACCCTGCCTCAAAAAAATCAAGAAAAAGCAAAACAAAGTAAAATAAAATGTCACTGATGTACATCAGAATCCCTGAGTTCAGGGATGGGAAAGTGGAGACGGGAACTACAGGTTAGCTGGCTCTGAGCTGTGTCTTGGTCCTGAAGGTCTATGTGAGCTTTGAACACTAGCTCAGGAGGTAATCACTGAGAACACTGTACACAGGCGTGGAGAACAGGGACTCCTGTGTCGAGTCTCCATGTAGGGGACTGCACAAGGAAGGTGCCAAGAGACATCTGTGGTAAGACGTAAGGATGGTGGACCTCTACTGGTAGCACTGGGGAGGCAGAGGCAGGTGGGTCTCCTTGAGTTTAAGGCCAGTGTGGTCAACATTGCAAGATCCAGGCTAGACTGGATGATATACCGAGACCCGGCCTCAAACAACAAAACAAATCAGAGTCTAGGATTAAAGCGGCAGGCTGTTATCAACACTGTGGCAATCCACCACTTCTCTATGGAGTTTAATCCATACCCATGGGGTTTTGAGAAAAGTAAATCTTTCTTCAAGCTGAAATTATCTGCTTTAGGATTTCTCCCAGTCCTGAGATCTAGGCTTTAACACCTCTAAGATTAGCTGTACCATCTTAATCCATAACAAATTATTGAGTGATAAAGAAACAGAAGGCTATTTTATAATGGAAGGACACGGCTGTTCACACTCACAGAAAATGTGAGACAAGAATTTGCACAAAAAATCAATGGGAAAAACATCATCTCCATATGACAAGGGGTTCCGAGTGTGGCCTCTACACACGCCCCGAGTCAGGGGTCACTGTGGGTGATCTGGGTAGCAGGAAGATTCAGCTCCCTCCTTACAGACCATATCTTGAACACGATCATGCGATCTTGCAGAGGGCCACTTCATTCTGTGGGCCCTGTGAGCTGGCGGAGATCTCTGAGGGTGAAGGACTCTCAGCTGGTCCCCTCCACTGTTCATCCACAGAGCCTGTGACTCCGCCCTCCATCCAAGTTGCCAACACCACATTCAAAGAACTGGAATCTGTGTCCCTGACCTGCGACTCACAGGACATTGGGATCTCCATCCGTTGGCTCTTCAATGGCCAGAGTCTGGGGCTCACGGACAGAATGAAGCTGTCTGAGAACAACAGCACCCTCAGTATAGACCCTGTCAGAAGGGAGGATTCTGGGAAGTATGAGTGTGAAGTCTCCAATCCAGTCAGTTCTGAGAGGAGCAATCCCATCCAGCTGAACATAATACGTGAGTATCCTCCCTTATTTCTCCATGCTGTTGGGGTGGGGCAATTTCTTCATCAACAAAATGAGCATTGTGATACCCTGTCAATAACAACAAAAGATCCCAATGCACCAAATGGAAACACAGTGATTCAGAGTTTAGGGTCTGAGTCGAACACACAGTCAACTCTCAGAATCTAGTCAAACATTCATGTTAGTCTACACACCTTCCCAAACATTCAAGTCTTCTTTAGATTATTTCTAACACCTAATATGAATACTGCATAGTCAAGTCTTATTGTGTCAAATACAGGACAAGGACAGGAGGAAACAACATTTTTCATAGTAAACATATTTTTCCAAGTAGTTTGTTTGATCCATAAATACAAAGTCCATACTTAGGAAGGACCTGCACTGAGTTTCTTACTACATTTGCTTATTTATTCAATTTCTGTGCGTGTCCACGCCCTTATGTGGAGGTCAGAGGACCATTTGTGGGAGCCAGTTCTCTGGGGACTGGGAGTTGAATTTAGGTGGATGAGCAAGCCCTTTATCTGCTAAGCCATTTGACTGGTCCAAATTTGGTTGTACATTTATTTATTTATGTGTGGCATCTGGGGGTAGGGACTGGGGAGCAGTATGGCAGGCACTCTTACCAAATGAGCCATCTTGTTGACCCACATAATGAGTTTCTTATCCTCATGCTGACATTTACTACATGACCGCCTTGCACAAGACTTTTTCTGATAACACACATACACACACACTATATATATATATATATATATATATATATATATTCTTTTTTCTGATAACACACACACTGCCCAGCTAAATTTTTTAATTTTTAGTATTTGTAATTTTAAGCTGGGTGGTGGTGGGCATACCTTTAAACCCAGCACTTGGGAGGCAGAGGCAGGCAGATCTCTGTGAGTTCGAGGCCAGCCTGGTCTACAAAAGGTAGCTCCGGGACAACCTCCAATGCCACAGAGAAACCCTATCTCAAAAAACAACACACACACACACACACACACACACACACACACACAAAGAGATCTGTAATTTTAGACATTCTCAAATGTATAGTTCAGTGGCATAAGGTATATTCATATCCATCAATGTCCATTTCAGAGCTTTCTTGTGAATCTATTCTACCCCCTACAATCCTGGATGTAGAATTACGGAGTTGAGTGCAATTCTTTACTCTTTGGGGAGCCACAATGCCATATCTCATGGTTACATTTTACCCTCCCATTCAGCAATGCCCCAGAGCACTAATTTTTTTATATATTCCAGAACTCCTGTTTCCATCTTTGTTTTAATGGTGTGCATCCTAAGGGATGTGAGGCGGTGCCTTACTGTGATTTTCATTTCCCTTTTGCCTGTGACCGAGAAGGAGGAGGAGCCACGCATGCATCCTAATCACGTCTGTCCACGCATGCATCCTATTCACGTCTGTCCCTTCCTATTCACGTCTGTCCACGCATGCATCCTAATCACGTCTGTCCACGCATGCATCCTATTCACGTCTGTCCCTTCCTATTCACGTCTGTCCACGCATGCATCCTAATTACGTCTGTCCACGCATGCATCCTATTCACGTCTGTCCCTTCCTATTCATGTCCTCCTGTATTGGGCTGTTTGGTTTCTGTTTGTTTGTTTTCTATGTTGGAGTTTCTTGCACACTCTGAACATTAACCTCTTGTCACATGTTTTATTTACAAGTATCTCCTGTCATTCTGGAAGTAGACTTTCACTTTCCTGTTAAAGTGCTTTGTTTAGTGTTACTAATGGTTTTAAATTACTAACACAATTAAATACATTTAGGAGAAATAATATTTAGAAACATTTTAGAATGATTAAGCCAAGTTAATCAACACATCTGTTACTTCCCTTACCTTTTTATGCTAAGAAATTTGAAATTAATTGTTCATTTACCTGCAATCCATTAGAGTGGACTATAATACACCTGCTGTATCATACCTCTCAAAACTTAGCACCCTGGTCTATCTGAAACCTTGTGTCTCTTGGCCAGCAACTCCCCGCTCCCTCCTGCTGCCACTCAGCCTCTGGTAACTGTCATTCTTCTCTCTATTCCACAGCGATTCTGAGTTCTCCTGAGTGGGCTCATGTGGCACTGTCTTTCTGTGCATGGCTTTCTCACTCAGCATCATGTCCTGTAGGTTCTTTCATGTAATCACATTGGCAGAACCATGTTATTTAAAAAGGTTTAACACCACTGCCATGCAAACAGAAATCACATTTTCTTTGCATATTCACCCATGGATAAACATTATTGTAAAAAAAATGCCACAGAGACATGCTGGGTCACATAACTGACAACATCCTCTGATGCACAAACATTTTCAATTTTGCTACAGTCCAAGTATCTATTTTGTTGTTGCCTATGCATCTGGCATCAAAATAAAGAAGCCACGCCAAATCTAATTTCAAGACGCTTTCACCCTGTCTCCTGATCCATTTTTGGTCTTTATTCCACTTACAATTGATTTTTATATGATGTCAGGTGAAGGCTTAACTTCGTTCTTCTTGCCTGGATAGCCCCTTTTCCCAACATCCCTTGTTTCAAAGACTATTCTTCCACCATTGAGCAATCTTAGCAGCATGAACTAAACTCATCTAGTCACAGAGCTGCAGTTGGATTTGAGAATGCCTTCCAAGTCCGGTAGGACAACTCTGTGTTACACCGATTAATTCAAAAGAGCCAGCAGAGATGAATGTTACAGCAAACATAAAAAGTGACAAATGAAGTAATGCATATACCAACTGCTTGTGTCTAACAGCACATTATAATACAGATGCAAAAACTGTGCCCATAAACATACACAGTTATCGTATCAACTACTCTTCAACTAAATCATTGGCCAGTGTACATGTGCAGTTTTGGGCTTTCTGGTTCTGTTTTGCTGACCTGTCTGTCTGCCTTATGTCAGTGGTATTCTATTTTGGTTACTGCAGCTTTGCACTGAAATTATGAAATCATAGGGGATGTTCACAATTTTATTCTTCTTTTTCAAGATGCTTTTTAAGGTTGGGTGTGGTGACACTCATCTCTAACCCCAGCTCTTGAGAGCACAAACAGGAGAATCTCCAAGAATTTGAGACCAGCCTCGTTTCAAGTGACTTCCAGGACAGCTAGAATGGACTTTTCTATTTCTGTACAAAATATCACTGGGGTTTTGATCTGATGTACATAGAACTGATAGACTACTGTCAGCAATATTGCCATCTGTTTAAAAAAGTCTTTTAGGCAATCTGGCTCATGCCCGTAATTCCAGCCATTCAAGAAGCTGATCCAGGAGTATCAAAGTCCTAAGAGTACCTAACAAAGTCAGCTCAAGGACAGCCTGGTTAATTTAGTGACATCCTCTTTCAAAATCGAAATTAAAAGGCAGAACTTGGGATATAACTCAACGGTAGAGCTTCATTTACCATGCACAAGGCCCTGGGTTCAATCCTCTGTACTGCACAACAATAATGATATTGTCTTCCAACCCATCAACCCCAATGGCTCTCATTTCTTGTCTCCTTTCATCATCTTGTATTTCGTAGTTTTCTGGGTGCAAGTAATTTAATTCTTTGGTGGAGCTAATTTAAGTATTTTATTATTTTTGGTGCTCTCATAAATAAAATACTTTCTTGATTCCTTTCCAGTTGTTCACTGTTAAGGCTGAGACTATTGTTCAGTGGCTGAACACTTGCCTAGCATGCATGAGGCCCTAGGTTCAAGCTACACTACTGCCAGGAAAGAGTGGAAATCTAATTGTCCATGGTCAATATTATTATACAGAAATACAGTTTTTTCGACATTTTCATTTTGTGAGCCAACAATTATGCTAGTTTTGCTCATTTAGTTCTGAGAACTTTCTGTAGAATGTTAAAGAGTTTCTACACACAAGTTCATGTCATCTACAGACATATATTTTTTACCAACTTATAATCAGGCACCTTTATTTCATTGTCCAGTCTAATGACTCTGTAGCACTTGTAAGAGTCTCTTGAACAGAAGTGGCCACAGCAACATCCTGTGTTCTTCCTTATCTCACAGGGAAAGCTGTCGTGTCCTCACAGAATGTGATGTTGGCTGGGGGTTTCTCACAGGGAAAGCTGTCGTGTCCCCACAGAATATGATGTTGGCTGTGGGTTTCTCACAGGGGAAGCTGTCGTGTCCTCACAGAATATGATGTTGGCTGTGGGTTTCTCACAGGGGAAGCTGTCGTGTTCTCATAGAATGTGATGTTGGCTGTGGATTTCTCACAGGGAAAGCTGTCGTGTCCTCACAGAATGTGATGTTGGCTGTGGGTTTCTCACAGGGAAAGCTGTCGTGTCCCCACAGAATATGATGTTGGCTGTGGGTTTCTCACAGGGAAAGCTGTCGTGTCCCCACAGAATATGATGTTGGCTGTGGGTTTCTCACAGGGGAAGCTGTCGTGTTCTCATAGAATGTGATGTTGGCTGTGGATTTCTCACAGGGAAAGCTGTCGTGTCCTCACAGAATATGATGTTGGCTGTGGGTTTCTCACAGGGAAAGCTGTCGTGTTCTCATAGAATGTGATGTTGGCTGTGGGTTTCTCACAGAGAAAAAGCTGTCATGTCCTCATAGAATGTGATGTTGGCTGTGGGTTTCTCACAGGGAAAGCTGTCGTGTTCTCATAGAATGTGATATTGGCTGTGGGTTTCTCAAAGGAAAAGCTGTCGTGTCCCCACAGAATGTGATGTTGGCTGTGGGTTCCCATATGTGACCTTTGTTACAGTAAGCTGGACTTCTAATCAGTTTCAGTGTTTCTATCATTAAAGTGTGTGAACTTTTGTCCATTTTCTATTCAGTCTTCTTGGTTATACATCTATTTGATGTTATGTTTCTTTCACAGTCCCATCTTTGAAGAACCCAGGCCACCCAACAGTCAGCATATAGCTATGAGTGCTCTTGAAATTCTTAGTATTCTTGAGAATTTAGTAATATCCATCTCTTTTTTTTCAAAATTAATCTGGGAAAGGGCTGCCAATATTGTTAATCAAGTTTGAAGAACCAACTTTTAGTGATTCAACATTCTCTACCGTTACTCTAATCTGTGTTTTGTTTATCATCATTCTAACCCTTATTTCACTACTTCCACTGGCCTGGGGGAGCTTTTAGGGAGGCTAGGGTCTCATTATGTAACCCACACTCACTTCAAACTCAAGCCTCCTGCTTCAACCTCTGATGTTAAGGTTATATCACATCCTTCTCCTGCCTCATAGTAGTTTTTAAAGACTTAATATAATAATCAAATGAGTTTTTGGCAAAATACAACACACACAGGAAGTAAAATAATTGTTCGCTGCAATTATTCCTACCACTGGTGTTACCTTGAAGTCAGATAGCCAGGTCTATGTCTAATTAACAATACAGATTTAAGTACTTTTTAAAACCCACTTTAAGTCTCAATTTTTTGTTTGTTTTTCAAAACAGCGTTTCTCTGTGGCTTTGGAGGCAGTCCTGGAACTTGCTCTGTAGACCAGGCTGGCCTTGAACTCACAGAGATCTGCCTGCCTCTGCTTCCCCAGTGCTGGGATTAAAGGCGTGCACCACCAACGCCCGGCTAGGTCTCAATTTTTTTAACCTTTAAATGGAAATAACTTCTATGTGACAGACACCATACAGATGAAACCATATACAAATTCGGAGCCAGTCACATCATGAATTCCATACCACAATGGTCAACATTAGTATTAAAATCAGTTTTTAGCAAACTGGTAAGGGTTGAGCCTCAGATGGTTACACCTAGGGGTAAAGAAGTGAGGAAGATATTATTACATAAGGGATGTGGGGAGACACATGTTATCCAAAAAGTGAAACCACTGTAACACAGCTACTAAATAAAAATGGGAGAGATAAAAGAAGAATGGAATTCTGACGCAAAATTTCAAACTTGGCTAGCTACTCGTTTTCATCCTCCAGGATGTGGCCATGATGGGTTTAGACAAGCCAGGTATTAGTGGAGGAACACTCTTGTGAAGGTGAGCCTGAGATATCCCTCAGGTCTCAGGCAGATATGATCCTGTGGAGGCAGAGAAGGAGGCACGTCTTAGATCAGGGTGCAGCTCAACAGAGTTTCTGCAAGGTTGAGGCTGAGTTCCCCACAGTCACCAAGCAGAGGGGACCAGGGTCCTACAGGGTCTTCCCTGATTTCCTACCCAACTGCAGAAACCATTGTTTCTGTGCAGAGGAGCTGGTGCACGGAGAGTCACTAGCCTGGGCCTTCAGCCACTTAGATCATAGCCACAAGAGATCACTTATTCATGGCTGCCACAGCTGAGACCCTGAGAAGAAGACACAGCCATAAAGACTCCATCTCACATTCCCACAGCTTCATGTGATCGCCTGGATGCAAATGATGGAATCGGGGATTGGAAGGAAGAGGGGGAACCAACTTAGAAACAGTGAGGGTGGAGAGACCCTTGCTAAGAGCCCCAACTTCAACTCACCCAATCAACCTCCCGACAGAAAATTCGCCCCCAAAAGGGAGAACAGAAATCAGACCATGCTAGGATTCCCCAGGACACAGGACTGGAAAACATTTTCGCTTTACTCCTTCCTGTCTTTTCTTTCCCTGACAGCTGACCCGACGCAAGGAAGTTCTGGCCTCTCTGCGGGTGCCATCGCCGGCATCGTGGTTGGATGTGTGGCTGGGGTGGCGCTGATAGCAGCCCTTGCGTATTTCCTTTATTTCAGGAAGACTGGCCGGTAGGAAGGTCTTGGCTCTTTTGTGTTCTCCAAGTCTTAGTGTCATGCTTGGGATTGGGCAAGGTCTTCTCTCCCTCTGCCTCTGAGCTGGACCCCTTCTGCCCTCTCCCCCCCCCTGCTTCTCAGCACTGACCCTGTGGGTTCAGCCTCCCTGTCTTCAGGATCCCTGTACTCCTGTTTCTTGGAGTCCATTCCACCTAGACAGAGAACAGATCCAATTATATCTCTGTTCTACAGTCAGTAGGCCAAAGTCCAAGATGAAAGAGAAGTGAGGGACTCCAAGGAGCAGCAAGGGGACGCAGGTGGCAGGAAGGAGGGGACAGGGGGAGAAGAGACCCTAAGAGGAAGCAGCAAAGGCATTAAAGTTCTCTTGCTCAAGAAAATGAGTAGAAAACGCTGGGTGGTGGTGGCACACGCTTTTAATACCAGTGCTCTGGGGACACAGGCAGGTGAATCTCTGTGAGTTCAAGGCCAGCTTGGTCTACAGAGAGAGTTTCAGGACAGCCAGAGCTACATGGAGAAAAGCTGTCTTGAAAAATCAAAAAAACAAAACACAACAAAAACAAATTACCAAAAAAAAGAAAGAAAGAGGAAAAGCATACATATTAAAAAAAACAGAACCACCTGGGTAAAACAAAACAGGGCAGGTGTTAAGTTGGACAGGGGCAACAGCATCAAGGATAAGAGACAGCACCAGGGACACTGCTCAGGAGTCAGGCACCAGCCCTGGGTGTGGTCCCAGCACCAGGAAACAAAGAGCAAATTCAGAGTCCAGCAAAGACAAAGGACAAACTATAGCAGGATCAAATAGATTAAGGAGAGGCCCCAGGAGGGAAGGCAATGCCAAGCACGGTATGCAGGAACATCAGTGACAGCGAGGGGCTCAGGAATGAGCCGCCCATAGCGTCCTCCCGACTCCAGGAATGAAGGCCCCGTGTGTGGGAATAGTGGTCACAGTGTCTGATATTTATTTAGGGGAACTGACCAGCGCGAACTCACAGAGCATAAACCCTCAGCCTCCAACCACAGTAAGTAAAGCCACTCACAGAATGAGAGTTGGCGTTCTACCACGTATCCTGCTCTGTCAGGGGATCCTGGGCTCACAGACCACGCCTTCCTTTCTGAATTTTTACAGAAGGGATCTCCACTTCCCAGCACTAAGGATCCCATAAATCAAACCCTTCCTAGCTACAGAGGAGTTGCCTGAGAGAGCCCTGGAGAAGCTCATTCCACCTAGGCTAGGCAGGCCTAAGCAAGTCATGTTTCCAGGAATCATCCTGATGCCTTCCTTCCTGCCTCTATTACGGATGTGGACATCTCCCTTGGGGAGACTTCCTTTGACTTACGGAATGTCTGGGTGCTGTGGCCTGTGTTCTTCCTCGTCACTGGGGCATGCTGCTGAGAATCAATTCTGGGCATGGTGTGAAATGGGAAACCGATGGCTCTATCCTGCTCCTCCTCTGACACTAACACAGTGGGCCTGGGCAACCTCTGAGGGAACCTAACTCCTGAGCTGATCATGGCCACCTCCCCATGCAACCCCTGCCACCTGCCAGAAGTCACAAACCTTTAAGTCAGCGTTGCACTTCAATGCACTGATAACTCTCTCTTGCTCCCCTAGATCTGGGCCCCTCTGACAGCTCTCCTAACAAGGTAAGCACTGCCACTTCCCTGGCTGTCCGCTCACGACATGTCTGAAGAGAGTGGGCCGTCTGGATTGTTTGGATGTGTGTGTGTGCTTGTTTGCCGAGAGAGGGTCTCACCATGCAGCCTCGACCTCCCTTCAACTATGTAACCTAGGCTGGCCTTGACCTTGTGACCATCCTCCTGCCTTAGTCTCTCAGTGCTAGGATGACACATGTGTGCTACCACACCAGGCTGAGAGTGAGGTGTTCCTGGAGACACAGCTGTGAGGTTCAGTTTGGGTCTACACTCCTCAGTGCTTCAGCAAAGAGAGATCGGTTAACGAGCCCCAGGAGTCTAACCCAAGAATGTGTGTTTGGAACAATCCCCACCTTGTGCTTAATGCCTGGCTATGATTCCTAGTATTCTGTGGCCCTTAACAAGGAGCTTGAAGTCTTTGATCCTCAGTCTTGTCACCTATGGAATGGGCATTCTGACTATCTCAAAAAGAGACAAAAGGGATTAAACAAGTTAACATGTGCACAGCACTGCCCACACAAAGCCAACAGCAGTTCATTCTCCTCCATTCTGAACCTGCTCTGACCATAAAAGCATGGGTTCCATTCTAGTGGGTCTGGGACCCTGTTCCTTCCTTTGCCAAAAGTTTACCATTACAGCCTTTCAAAAGAGTACACACAAAGACTAAAGAGAGCTTTAAATAGTGAGCACACTTTCACCGTGTGAACTCTTGCAGCTTGAACACACTCGTAAGCAACAGGCAAATTAAGTTACTTCACAACTACATCCCCCAAACACACGTTGCTGTCACTTCCCTGCAAAGAGGGTGGCAGCCAGGACTGTGCACATCCTCGCCCACATCTGGCTTCTGTCCACCGCTGTTCTGTGGCCCATCTAGAAGTCTCTGTTGATTCTGGCTCTGTTCTCGTTGCTGTCTCACCCTGTCCCATGGTACCAACCTGTGTCCTCCAGTGATCATGCATCAGGATGTCAGACAGCGAGTGACGGGTGTTCTGTCCCACGGCTCACGGTGCACAGAGGCCACAGCTCAGTGGTGCTAGGTCACCAGCAAGGTGAGTCTAGGACCTATGGATTGATGTCACTGACCAACACTCACACTTTCAGGTGAATGAAGTCACGTATTCCGTTCTGGACTTCAGTGCCCAGCGACCCAGACCACCAGATTCAGCCTCCCCCTCCCCCAGAGCCATAGAAGCAGTTTATTCAGAAGTGAAAAAGAAGTGATCACAGTCTGCCCTGCTGGCTACACCAGTGAAGCATTTCCAGACTCTGTCCCTTACTAGATCTCTCTACCCTAGAGATGAGGGAACAACGCACGCATGTAGGCACACATGTTATGGCAGCTCCAGGCCACAGCCTCTCCTTCAGTGTCAATAGAAGGAAAAGTATTCTGGGAGCCTACAGGAAACCCAACCTTTCTTGGAATTGAAATTTGGCTGAGAGAGAGGCACCAGAACTGTCTGCCCCTGGCCTGTTTTAAACTGACCTATTCTGAGCGCATTCATTCCTCCCCAACTCCAAGTCCTTCCCTATCGTATTCTGACTTGAATTTCCATAACCTTGGAAGTCACCTACATGCCTATGCCAAAAAACCAAAGGAAAAGCAGGAAATGGCCATTCCTGTGTCGTTAGAGCCTGATGAGAAGCCACCACGTGAAGCCCGATGTGAGGCAGGAAGACCAGCCTGTTGCCAACAGTTCACCAGGAAATCGCCACGCCCAGCTGAGGCATCAGGGTCTCTGTACTTCATGGCTTTACCCCTGAGCCCTTCTCTGAGCCTTTCTCCAGAAAACCCACTCAAAGAAGCTAGAAAAGCTCTGTGGCAGCATCCACAGGCCACTGCTACAGCAGAGTGCAGACGCCTCTACATCTGCCAGGGAAGTGTCCGGAAGAACAGGGTTGGTGGCTTTGTACTGGCAGTCTCCTGGAACTTGAAAAAGGAACAGAGAGAGACCCCTTTGTAGAGCATTGGAACTGTGTTAAAAGAAGCCATGTTCTGAGATACTGGAGTTTCCTCTCTCTAAGACAATCGCCTCTTTGAGTGTTTGTAACTGCTGGTTTGCCTCACTATGGGAGCTGATGGGTCTGCCTCAGGGGAGAGAAGCCACTGAATCTCTGGCTCCCTTGGCCAGGATTGAAAGGCCTCCCAAGCCCTTTTGATCAGGAGTTCCAACCCAAAATACATAAATGAATAGCAAGGCAGTCACTTGCAGAACCACTGCCAAGTGTCAGGCTAAGCCCCCTACTTCCCTGAATTAGTCAGAAAAGCCTGACTTTTCCTTTTTCCATTTTTTATCTTCTCTGTCAGACACTGACCAGGGCCTAGGCCATCTTCCTTTGGCACTTTGGGCTTCCTCATTCTTTTCCTGAAGCTCTCCCTCCCCCACCCTGTGCAGGTGCCAGCTGACCTCCTGCCCGACTCAAAGGCCATTCCTCCTCTACTCCGATGAGGTGTCCAGCTTGTCTACCTTATTGTTTTTCTTTTAAACTCTAAAAGAAAAAAATTGCCCTCAGCTTCCAAAAATAAAATAACAATGGGCTTTCATCATTCCCGCCAGAAGGAGACCTAACTCAGTTTCTGGAGATCTAGGACCAGCCTCCAAGCACCGTTCGGGAGTGCTCCTGCCTGTGCCCTTTTCCCTTTCTTTGTCTTTTCTTTTTGACTTTTTTTCTAGACAGAGTTTTAGCATGTAGCCTGCACAGGCTTCGATCTCACAGTAATGCCTTCTCCAACCTGCCAGCTGCTGAGATTGCAGCCGAGGCCACCAGGCCCGGCTCCCTATGCATGCCCTGTCTGCCCTGCACTCTCAGGAAACCTTGGACTCTGCTACTATGTTTGGTCCACGTGAAGCGTGCCTTTAAAAGACACAGCCACTCAAGCAGAAGGCATTGTTTACAGCCTAGAGCGCTCTGCACTGGTGCTCCACGGGGAATGTGGGCTATTAGCGGGGTGCTCTTACCCAGCCCCAGGCTTTCTGCGGCTTCAGAAACCTACCTTTCCCATCTGGGATGAGGCCCAGCAACAGGAGGAAGATGTGGTCTCAGGGACCCTCTGTTCAGAGGCACACCTACACTGTGATCATTAAGCGAAGGTTTTACTGGATATTGAGTGTTTGTGTTCATGCCATGCCTAACAGGCCTTCTAAGACAATTATTTTTGAGTTCTCCTACTCAGGGATTTCTTTCAGGGATTTCCAGTCCAAACATAGTCTGTGTATACTTTCCTTTAGCCGTGCTAGTCTGGATTATTTAATTTTGCCTGGCTAAAGCCAAATCTGAGTTATTTGTAAATTTCTCCCAAGTTCATAATAAAAAAATTGTCATATATCACTAATACTACTTTGTGGTTTTTTCTGTTTGTTTGTTTCTGGTGTTGCCATGCTTAGGATGGAAATCAGGGTCTTGCATGCAGTAGGCAAATTCTCTACACTGAGATACATCCCCACCTGATACCTCTTTAGAGGACGCCTTCCTTATAGGTAGAAGACTGGGGAGGGGGGCGCCAGAGTGAGCCTACTGCTACAGTAACTCTCGGGTGTAGTCATCTAGGAACTAGCTAAATGCACTGCTCGTTTATTAGCAAAGTGAACATGAAAGCAACAAGCCAAGCCCTGACCTGCCTGGAGAAAGCTGTTCATCATCCTCTAGGAGAGGAGGGTTACAGGAGTAAAAGGCCTCTCTGGTCCTCTCCTACCCAAGAGGCTCCAGCCTCTCCAAGGCAGTGATGCATCTTCCAACTCACAGAAACCTCAACATGTTCCCTCACACTGCATTCCCTCCAACACCTCCTGCTCCTTTCTTGTTACTAATTCCCTGCCTGTCCTCTTAGGCCTCTGACCTGAATAAGATCTGTGTATTGATTCCATTAAGTGTGTCGATTGCTATGATCTCAGTTTTCCTTGCAATGGCAATGCATGCGTGGCCTGCCCTTCCCCATCCTGTTGCCATACCCAAGTTTGGCATACTGAAGTTTCGTAAAGTCACCGTCACTTCTGGGATGGACTCAAGGGGTCTGTCAACCTCACACTTCAGTTTTACATCATCTACAACCACAGGCAACTCTTCTTTCTGGGTCACTGCTACACCCTGACACCAGCCAGGCCTCAGATACTTCATGTGTCCCTTATCCCACCCTTCACTCGGCTCCAAAGGCCTCCACAGATGGCTCCTACATGTATATCTCAAGCCCCACCTCTTCCCGGAACTCATGGCACCTGCCTCCAAATAATTACTCATGTAAACAAATTCATCACCCTCGGCACACTGATCTCTTTGTTTTAGATTTAGTGTGTGTGTGTGTGTGTGTGTGTGTGTGTGTGTGTGTGTGTGTGTGTTTGAAACAGAGTCTCCCTATGTAGCTCTGGTTATCCTGGAGCTCACTATATAGGCCAGGCTGGCCTTGAACTCACAGCAATCTTCCTGTCTCTGCCTCCCAAGTGCTGGGATTAAAGGAATGAACAACAGACCTGGTTCCCTTAATGCATTTAAAAAAATACATATGTTGTATGTCAAGAAGGTTCTCACTTCTCCACCACTCCCAATTCTCAATCTCATTAGATGTGTCCCCCTAAACATCCCTGTCCGGCTACCCTATGTACTCTATGTACTCATATAAATCTTAGTCCCAATGCTATGCCTAAAAATGGACACCAAGCAGTACGATTTCTCTGTTACATTCACTATGGTCACCCTTCATGATAAGCAACTTCACACAGATCAACGCTAGAGCATTCAAGTGAGGACATCAGCTTCGGGAAGGACAAAGTGTGTGTGGTAGGCAATGTTTTCCTGGTGACTAATTAATATATTCATGAAAGGTATAGAAATTCTGTATCTTCCTAGATGAGGCCTTTCCTCTAGGGAACATAAACCCCTAAGACAGAATTCACAGACAAGCCCCCTGGCACACCTGTGAGAGCATCTATGAAGGCTAACCTAGGAGAATGTCTGTGAGGTATCGTCTCGGTTACAGAATTGTGAGGGGTCCAGTCCCTGTGCAGTGCCCTGCACTGTGTACGGGGAGAGACGGAGCTGAGTACCAGCATGCATTTGTCACCCTGCTCCCTGAGAGCAGATGTGACATCACCCGGTACTCAAGCTCCTGCCGCCTTAACTCCCACCTGACGATGACTCTACCCCTGAACTGTGAGCCTGAATAAAGCCTTCAGTTGCTTTTCTGTATTAGCACAGCAGTAGGAGGAGAAACTGTAGTGGTGGTCAAGACTCGGGTGCCCTGCTGGCGTAGACAGAAGCTGGGCCATGGCTTTCAGCTAGGGCTCTACACCATATAGGGAATCTTCAGCATGCATAAACCTATTTCCGGGGAAGGGGAGTCAGTACGTTCGTGAGACCTGGGTCTTTTAGAAAACTCCCAAGTGATTCTCGCATTCTGCATGTCAGGAAACAGTGACCTGGAGCACAGAGAAGATGAAGACATTAGGGCTGAAAGAGCACTCAATAATGAGATTGAGCTATTTCTGCAAGTTGGGAACAGAAGGATCCTCAGGAAGACATTGTTGACAAATAACTATGTATTAAAAGCCTGACAATACCAAGTGTTGTGAGCATGGGAATGACTAGCATGCTCATGATGCTATGAGTGTACAACGGGTCCAACCACTCTAGAAGTAAGTTTGGTAATTTCTCATGAAGCCAAACACACACTTCTACAACCCAAGCCTCTACTGGATCACTAGATATTTATCAAAAGAACCATACACATACACACACAGAGTTGTACATGATTGTTCACAGCCCAGCCTCATAATTCATAACAACCAATAAAAAAATCCATCATCAGAGAAACTGAACCGACCATCATGTGTCCACGGGATGAAACGCTCAGCTACTGTTAAAGAGATAACTGTGTAAACAAAACGTATGAATCCTGCTGGGTACTGTGGCACATACCTGAGAACTTGAGCTCAGGGGTCTAAGCCATCCTCAACAGAGCAAAATCCCATCTCAAGACAGAAGATGATGATGGCTGGAGAATTAAGAACACTTGCTGCTCCAGCAAAGGACTAAATCTGGTTCCCAGCACACATGTCGGATAGCTCACAACCACCCGAGACTCCAGTACCAGAGGATGAAACACCCTCTTCTGGCCTCTGTGTACATGGGCACACATGCATTACACACCACACACACACACACACACACACACACACACACACACACACACAGAGAGAGAGAGAGAGAGAGAGAGAGAGAGAGAGAGAGAGAGAGAGAGAGAGAGAGACTAGCTTGCCATGACAAAGCCTTGGAGAGTGAGGCCAGCACTGCAGAGACAAAGTCACAGCACCAAAACCCAGGTACACCTCAATAGATTTGAATTTTATCTCACTTTTCTTTATAGGCATATATTTATATGGGGGTGCATTGCCATAGCATTGACGTAGAGCTCAGGGAACAGCTGAGACTCAGCACTCTCCTTCCACCATGTGGGCTCCAGGGCCCCACCAGGTCATCAGACTCGGTCCTCTATGTCAGTTTATTTATGTGTACATGTGGTGGGGGTGGGGGCTATGTGCACATGAGCACAGGCGCCTTCGGGGGCCAGAAATCGCACATCCCTCTGGGTCTGGAGTTACAGGCTGCTGTGAGCTGTAAACCAAACTGGAGTCCTCTGGAAGAGCAGATCGTACCTATACACTTAGTGGCTAAACCATCTCTCAGATCCTGTCTCAAATTAAAGATAAAATAAAATATGTACCTAAGTCCATCTATCAGAGAGGGAACACCAATACTCACATTCTATTGCTGCATAATAAACTATCATATTTAGATCACAGTTTCCTTTTATTATTTAGTGACCAGTGAACCTGAATTCCTTATCATCCAGTTTCCAGCTCTGGAAGAGCTAAGATTTCAGGCCTGTGTACCTACACTGCCTTATTTTAGATCGTCCTGGGAATTGAATTCAGGGTCTCTGGTAGACCAGGCTGAGTCTACCAGAGACCTCTACCCACTGAGCAACACAGCCAGCACTATGTGACCCTGTGTAGATGCTTAAACAGCACTTGTTACTTCACCAGTTCAGTTCCTTGCAGTGATAGACTGAGGTTGACTTTGTCCTGATAACCCATCCAAGGTCTTGCTTGTCACCTCCATCTAAGCAAAGGAGAGCTTATGTCACTAGATTATATCCACGCAGACACTCTTCATCAAAACGGACTGATTCATAACCACAAACACATCTTCCAAATCCTGATTGCCACACGATACTGTAATCACAGGTGTGAGGTGGGATCTGAACAGCACGCTAGTTTGGGGCAGAGAGGCCAGGTGAGGGTTCTGTGCAGAACAGCGCCTCGTTCATGCACAGCCCCTCTCTGAGGGCGCTCTCTCAGGGTCCTCATCTGCAAAATCGGGGCAAGGACCCCAAACAACTGCGTGATGTAATGTGAGACAGGAGATCACCACTCTGTCCTTTTGCCATGCCAGAGTACACACAGCCCAGTGTAGTGATATTCATTTGTGATTTCAGTAATGAGAGGCTGATGCAGGAGGGTTACCACAAGTACCAGGCTATCTTGATATACGCAGTGAAGACTAAGCCAGAACTACATGGCAAGATGCTGTCTCAACAAACAAAAACAAACAAACAAAAATAGCCTGCAGAGTTAAGAAACAAGAGTCTGTGTACATGAGTGCACGTTACACTCACAGTGCTGGAGCTGGGACACAAACCTCCCCTGTGACAGGAGAGTGCTCTACTGAGTTATAAGCCAATCTGGGACACAAACCTCCCCTGTGACAGGAGAGTGCTCTACTGAGTTATAAGCCAATCTGGGACACAAACCTCCCCTGTGACAGGCTAGTGCTCTACTGAGTTATAAGCCAATCTGGGACACAAACCTCCCCTGTGACAGGCTAGTGCTCTACTGAGTTATAAGCCAATCTGGGACACAAACCTCCCATGTGATAGGCTAGTGCTCTACTGAGTTATAAGCCAATCTGGGACACAAGACCTCCCATGTGACAGGAGAGTGCTCTACTGAGTTATAACCCAATCCTAACAACTGAGTTCATTCTCATCATAGCTCAGGGGAATACAAAAATCAGTGTCAGTAAATTTTGTTGCTTAACTTTATTACTTTTGTCTTTATTAAATATTTTATGTGAAATTTTACAATTTTTAAAAATTAAAATGTAATTAAATAATCCCCCCAGCTTCCTCTCAAACTCACAGACTCCTTTCAATGAAATTTATTTTTAATTGATACAATGACATAAAGTTGTACAGATTACTGGAGTACCATATGATGTTTGCATACGCTCTTTAATTGTACATTCAAATGAAATTAAACATATTCATATTCTCAAACAGCA